AACTCTCGGGGAAGGAACTGTTGGTTTTGGCACTCGTGATTTTGAATGGGCACCCGTAAATTTCTGCCATGACCGGGTGGGGGGCGGCGGCCTCTCTTTCCAGACAGCATGAACTGCACGGAAAACGATGCCGCCCACGACTGAGATTCGAACCAGCGATGGCCACTACAACCCCTCAATAGTTTTTTATCGACATGAAAGCTGAAGTATATTTTAAACATTGTCATCTTTAAAAAAAAAATTGTTAAACAATTAATTTCACAATAAAGAATAATTAAACGATATAAGTGGTTTTTATTTTTAGAAGTAATTTTTAATAAGTGCCTAACTATAACTTATAATTAGTATATTATGTAAAAAATTCGAATCGTCAATAATTTTCTAAGATTGATGTATGAATATGAATATTAATTTATATAAATATAATTTGTGTTGTACGGTAAAATGTTATTCGCAAAGCTCCAATTAGAAATGAATATAGTGCGAAATGATGCTGTTATACACTGTATACTTTCCAGAATCGACGCATAATTTTTTGATGTGTTGAATGTACATATTCCATTATATATTATTATTTATAAAGTATGAGCATAGGAAAAAACAACACTCATACATTTCTAAAAATAATTACTYGTTAGCTATAAAAAGTTATTATGTTAAAATTTAAACATAGCTAAAAGTGATCACAACATACGGCTATTTAAAGTAATGCAAGCGTTCTTAAGTAGGTATTTATTATGTTATTTTTTACTTACCTAATATATTTATATCGTATAATCAAACGAAAGAATTACAATTTTCGTGAACTATTTTTTTTATCGAGCAAGCACATCATAATAGTCATATGAATATATATTAATAAAATCAAATTAATCAAAAGTTGAAAATACCCGTATCTATTTATTTAATCTGCTTCGATTACAATTTTTTTCATTAAAAATAACTATTAATATAAATAAATGTTTTCAAATAGTTAAGGTAGGTATAGATAATTAATATTAACCAACAAATGAAAATCAATTAATTCATAAACCATATAAATATAATTGTTTTTTTTTTTTTATTATACAATCTGTAAATATAATATTTTACAATAAGTATAAGTGCTGTAAGGATAGAAATATTATACGAATAAAATAAAATAAAATAAGAGGGACTGATGACTTGAGCTAAGAGTCCATCCAGCGATGGGACTTCTTAAACTTGAGAATGGGTTTAATTCAGTCAGGAGATCCCGACATCATTTTCGTCTTAAACGTCTACTAAGGTCACCTGGGATGCTGAGAGTAGATAAGTTGAAAATTAATGGATTGCGGTGGTTAGAAAGGTTTGAGTGGAATCGTTTATACAGAGTTTTGGCTATGTGTTTTACTGTTGGAATAGAGAGGTCGTTATGGAGTGTGTCGTTGGAGACGTAAAAGGGGCTTTGGTAATTTGCCGAAGGCGTTTAGATTGAAATGTTTGAATTTTTTTGATATTTGATGGTTTGGCTGAATCCCAAAGTTGTATACCATATAACCATATAAGTTTTAGTAGTAGTTTATATAGAAGTATTTTGTTGCTCAGGTTGATGTGCTTGGATGTAAGGAGAAGGCGTAATTGACGGGATCGATTATTCAGTGCGATACGTTTGGTATGGATGTGGTGGGCCCAGGTCAGTCAACGGTCCAGATAGAGRCCGAGATATTGGACATTTTGTGTGGGTGGGTCGGTTGTTGAGGGTTATATATATATATAATTGTAGTATAATAATATCATTTTGTAGAAATTATAGCTATCTGTCTTGTTTATAACATATTACAATGAAATTAAAGTTGGAATACTGTAAAAATTGATATATATGTATATGGTTTTGGCTTATGTGTATTTAAAAACGTATAAGATCCATAAGTTTAGTTATACGATTGGCAGCCGATAGAATCAATTTTCTACAACTAGAATATTATTATTGAACTGCAAAAGTACATCCATCTATACCAACGTTTAACAAATCTTAGGTCTTCAAATCAAATAATTATTGTATATTATTATTTATATCTTTAGAATATTATTCATATAATAATCTATAATTATTCCATATATATTATACTTATAATAATGGATCATAAAATTGCCTATAATTTTTAAAAATTACAATAATTACATACAATTTTACAATTTTATGTGCAGCGTGTAGTATTTGTATTGACATTTATAACGACTCCCCAAAAATTGTCATTTCGAAAATTAATAGTTACAGAACGTTTTTATAGGTAAGTCATTATTATTTTTAATAAACATTAATGTTATAATAATAAACTATCGTATAATTTTGATTTTTAATCAAATGCGTATAGGTACAATAAGATTGTGAATTCTTCTTTAATAACGTAGTATAATTTATATATTATAAACAAAAAAGAGTTCATTCATGTATTCAATTTTTCGAGAGACAAAAATGAAAAATTCTTTTATAACTTATTTTTATCCCAATGAAGGTCAATACTATTTTAACTTGTATTTTTAACAATATGCATCAATACAAATACTTTAAACAATTTTTCAGTACTTCAATTAATAAATAAAAAAGCTTTATTTGTACACGCCTCTAAAAACTATGCCTACCTATATTAATATATTATTCTTTACAAAAAAGTATGTTTCCTTCTTTTATAATCAATTTATTTATGGTGTGATTAATTGTGTGTAGTATAATACGTACATAGCCTATTGATAGAAAAAGCAATAATTATTACCACTAATATGCATGCCAAATGGATATTAATATTATAGTAAGTATGACAAATATACAAAAATATACCATATTTAGCTATAAATAATATAGATAGTAAAAACTGTATAAATATAATACATTTTTTATGTAAATAATTTAAAAAAATTGTAACTGAATGATTTATGTCACCGAGGGTAATTTGTGTTATTAAAAATAAAAAATAAATATATAAATAGTAGATACCAATAAATATATCATAATGTCGTAAGATGATAGGTAACTGTTTAAATAATTTTAATGATTCATAATTTTCATACCAAAAATTAATAATATATAGTAGGTTTTTGGTCATGATTGACTATTGTAATAACCCGGGCCTTTTCATCATATTATCCCGTTTTTTCTTTGTTCTTAAAGTAATCGGTAATCGCCAATTAATGTAATTATTTTTATAAAATATGTTACAGAGTTTARTATAAATTTAATACGAATCCTCTATAGTCCATACATTAATTATTTATTTTAAATCAGAAAAAAAAAGAGAGAAATCACATAAATAGTGATTCATTAAGTATGATCATTGATCACCCGTTTTTCTTCTTCAATAGATGGTGCAGAAATTAAAACTCTGGTATTTACAATTTTAAAAAATACTTAAGACCATATTTTCAAATCCTTGACATTTTTTGTATTAATTAAGGATAGTGT